CCTTCCCTTCAAAGAACCAGACAGATGCTGCCGCCCTTACCATGAACTCTGGACTGCCATCAGAATGTCGGTCCAGTTCTCGGTCCAGGTCGGCCAGGTCCTGGTTTATGCCGTCCAGCTCAGCCTGTAGGTTCTTGTATTCTTGGTGATCCCTATCAAACTCCTGTTTGTAGGCCAGACGCTCTTGCTCATCCAAAATGGGGGGAAACAAACTATATGCAAGAAGACAATTCAGTACATAACCAGTAAAACAAAAGAGATACGAATCAGTCAAGGTCAAAGACAAAGTTCTTTATTACCAGCTTTGATCTAGAAATAGCAGATTAATTGCAATCAGCTAATAACTGGCAATGGAATCACATGCACTCACACACTGAAATCTTCTTCCTCTAGGTCATCCCCAGATTCCACACCAGTGTCGTAGTCCCTCAGCCTGGGCTGCAGGCCTCCCACATAGCTGCTGATGTCAGAGTCTCTGCAAACAGGATTTACTGATTCATCCATTTTTGCAAAAGCCTTATAAGTATCTGCCATTAAAACAAACACACTTGAACCCTTGTAGCATGTTTACAGAGCCAACTGGTCTCAAATATGGTTAATATGGTTCCCCATTATCCTTCAGCACCTTAAACTTCAAAACTTATGGATGAGCTGACCCATCAGAGATGGATCACTGTGATCGAGTGCTACTACAGAGTTATGTGCACCTCTTCTCTTTGCACCAGACCTCATTTCAAATTTGGTACAGGGACACTGATCGTTTGTTGACCTGATTTGAACAGAAGTATCCCCGTCTGACCAGCTGGAGTTCCCTCTACACAGCACAGGAAACAGTTTCTGCAGCAGCTGAGATGTTCATCTTTGCAAAGTTGATAATGATGCACTTTTACACAACCATGAAGAACAGTTTCTTATTGACCCACACTCACAAATAAATGTATCTTCATTGTACATTTCTATTTGAAACGTTATTATTTTCTGTGTTTCAGTGAGTGTTTTTCACTACAGCACCAACAATACAAAACCCTTTTCTTGGGAATTTAGCGACGTTAAAAATATAATCAAAGAGGCTTTGGTGGTGGATTGTAAGTGTCATGGTCTGTGTGGAGTTATGTTCTCCCATGTCTGTTTGGGTACTGTGTGGGGCATTTTCAATTTGTCCCACAGTCCGAACACACAGATTGACCGTAGGTGTGGGTGTGAATGTGAAAGTGAATGGTTGTCTGTCTCACTGTGTTAGCCCCATCATAGACTGGTGACTGTTCAGCGTCTACCCCTCCTCACCAGCTGGGATAGCAGGTGCCCCACCCAAAAGTCTCCAAGCCGTTTTATTTTAGATGAACTTTGGTGGTTTACAGAGGAAAATTGTGTAACTAACTCCATCAGGCCACAGTCCTGATCATGTGAGCCCCCCCCCCCCACCCCACCGCCTCTGCACCCCACCCCAGAACATTTAGTCCTACAAAACTTCATTTACAAAAACAGACTGACAGTGATGCTGCATGTGCAAAAGGTCAGACACCCAAGGTCATGTTTTAAGTAAACAAATTATACACTGTTCAGTCATTTCAGTAATTTATTATTCAAGAATAAAAACCCAATAGAGCTGCTAGCATCATTATATCTGTAAAAAACAAACAAAACAAAACCCCAATTCCCCCAATGCTTAATGATACTTTTTCATAACAATGAAGAACATGCTTACCCTGGTAGGTATAGAGGCTTGTTGTAGTCCAGCTGGTCTAAATAGTCTCTAGAGGCCCCAACTTTATCGTTATGGTCATTAACAAACACCTCTGGATCACCAGACACGTTGGTCACCTGAAGCAACAAACATAGTCAGCCTCAGAGTTTCTACAATGCCAGATTGAAATTAAAGGGACTTTTCCAAATGATGAGCAGTTTAAGGGTGAAAGTGGCTCTACAAATATTTTGAGTTTAGGTTTAAGGTGAAAATACCACGATTATGTCATCAAAGATTTTTCACATTAATGAGTTTCGTCCCATATCGTTAATGAGAGTGCCTTATCATAACCTAATGAGATACTACGCTCATACTTGAGGTCATGGAAACCCGTTTCCTCCATATGAAGCAAGAAGCATCCGCAGGGACCAACCGGTTCCTCTACTTGTCCCTGTATGTCTGAATACCACAAATACCTTCACTATTGTCAACAAGAAGTCTTAGTCAGTGCCTTTAACCAGCACACCTGATGAAATCTCAGGCCTGATGGTGCTACTTGGAAAGTACACAGCTGGAATTAAAGCTACATGGACATAATACTCAGATACACATTTTCCATTTTTATCACTACCATCGGAAGACAGGGGAATAAATTAATTAATCTGAACATGTGAAAGATCTAATGAGTTAATGTTTAAAAGAATAAAAATATAACAACATGCTGTTTCACTTTAGATGACATCACAGTGACACCACAGCACATCATGCTGAAACTAAGAGTGGCTAAACAGACCACACCCAGAAACTACAGGTGAAACCTCCTCTGCCCAGTGTCTCTCTCACCTGTCACGCGCGCAAAACACACACACACACACACACACACAAACACACACACACACACACACACACACACACACACACACACACACACACACAAATTCTCAGCTTTTGTAACAAACAAGTTGTGTAATTTCTGAAGTAGTAGTAGTGGTTAGAATCTGCAGCCAATTACATGAATTATGCTCCTATCTTTATTGCCATTTACAGTGCTGTTAGGATGTCCCAGACTGTTTTAATGTTCTTAACAGTCTGTTTAGAGATTGCACAGATCACTTCACAAAACCAAGCATTCTGAATAGTGAATAAGAGCAGATAACACATTATCACCCTGCAACTGACTTTAATGTTGTGGAAATTTTAAAGGTGTGTCAGAGGGGAAATTTTAAAGCCCTCTGACACACCTTAGAGATATTGTGTGTTCCAGCTCTTGACTGCAGATCTGTGTCATGTTTACAGTATTTAAAATATTCAAAAATATTCACAGAGAGTTGGAGACTGAGTGGGGAATTTGTTGAGCTGACCTGATATATTTAGTTCAACCTTAATTTGACTGAATAAAGTTACGCTGCAGCTGATACAGGCTTTTGCTATTTAGTAAACAGGTAAATGCGATGCTGATGTCAACACAGTCACACACAGACTCACCCACTCCCCGACGCTGTTGTGGTGACCAACATTGACAACCTTGACTTCCTCCCAGAGAATGCGTTCTGGGCCCCAGCGCCTGATCTGTTGGCGAGTCTTGACCGCAAACACGAGCAGGATGATGAGGGCAACAAACACCAAAAAGCCCATAACCACAGCGATGGCCTGCAAGAAGCACAACCAAGATCATGGAGCTGAAGTAATACCCATTATCAGGGATGTAAATGACAGGCAAGTTTCTCACATTTCCCTAAAAATCTCAATCTTATAACACCTGCCACCAAACAATGAGTTGGCCAAAGGACATTTGCAGGTACAAGTCTGCCATAAAACAATGATTCCAAATTCATGTAGAACAAACTGGGTTTCCAGTATCACTACATGTACTAGTTGGTTTCCAACGGCACACTTGCTCAGTTCAGCTGATTGCTGCTTTAGTGCAAAAATGTGTAGAAACACACCCAATTCCTGATCACCAACATGTATTCTGCTGCTCAAGATATCTCCTGCCCACAAGCGACAGTCAGTGATGCCGTTTCTGTCAGGGTTATGGTGATGTTTGCAGTTCTTACAGGTAACATTTAATGGCGTCAATTTAACAAAAATAAGGCAAGCAAACACTGTTGTTCAGTATTTTCCCCGATTTAAGAAATGTGAAAAGTTTGGAGCTCAATTGCACCAGTCCCTGAGTGCACCCAGAACAAGCTGATTTAGTACTGAAAGAGGGGCACACATTTGTCAGGTTTTTGTTTCTTTTGCTTTTAATAACTTTGAAATAGACGAACACATAAAGTTCCAATAAAATGAGCATTTGCAGACTTTTCTCTTCCTGACACCACTCAGTTCTATTGCATTTTTCTTCTAGTCTTTTGAAGTCGTAATTTCATCTTCATGTGTCCATTAACTGCGAGTTTAATTTACTGCTACCTCTCTGGCTGAAACTAAACAAACTCTCAGTATACACAGAGAAAGGAACTACACAGAAACCGCACATCCTGTGCCAAAGATCCAACCACACATTATTAGAGAAAAAGTGTCTCACCTCTTGGGGCTCCACCACGCAGTAATGGTAAAGGTATTGGTTTAAGAAGAGGCCCTGGGGCTGGACCTGGTTCTGGAACTGGGCACACATCTGTACTACCTGGTTGTAGTACATAGACCCCGTGGACTGTGCTGTTGGATTTATCGCCACCAGGTACACAATAGTGGCAATAATCATCAGGAATGCCAAGATGGCGCAGATAATGATTGATGCCAGGTAGAACTTTGATGAACGGGCAGTACCTTGCCTTGACACAACCATGATGAATATAATAAGCACAGCTATGAAGGTAATTGCAGAAATGGCAATGATAAAGCCTTTGCCAGATCTGGGATCCATTTGTGTTCCTCCATAGCCGGAATAGGAACCACCATATGCGCCACCATATGAGCCACCATACGCGCCCCCATAACCGGTTCCATATCCACTGCCATATGAGCCTGGCATGAGACCAGTTCCGCCCCCCATGAGACTCATTTCGTAATCCCAGGCCAGTGTGGAGGCCACACAGGCAAACACAGCCACACACATGATGATAATGATGATGCACATTATCTTCATCACACCAGGTGGTGAATTCCAGCGATAGAAGTGAAGCACCTTATTTCCAGAATAATAGGAAAATGCTGGGTTGGACATGACTTCACTGTGCCTGTGGCTGGAACAGAGGAGAGAAGATGAGTTGTGGTCATTGTCAAGACATAAAAATAGCAAGGCTACCCCAAGAATAAGGTCTAATATTGTCAATGTTTTCATCACAAGGGCAACTTCTCATAATGGTGTGATCTACTTCACGTCATTGAAATGAACAGGTTATCACTTTGAAAAAGAAAATCCTCATGTCATCTAAAACCCAACTAAGCCAAAGCCTCATTGATGTCCATCACACATTTTCCAAAGGCTAAAGATGATTTTAAAAAAAAAAGTTTATTAGGGATGGATGCGTTTGTCAAATAGTTAACAAGAACAACAAAAAAAACTTGGTAGAACTCAAGTTTTTTTTAATACAACAAATTGTTTATACACTAATAAGCCAAAGATCTATGGTTTGAGCCCAAAAGGTGACACTAATGCTGTTGGGCATCTGACGTAAAAATCTAATCAAACGTGAATCGGCCCACTGCAGCAATGCCTTGTGAATACTGGAGCGCTGGAAAATGGCAACTATGAAAACTATGCCAACAGTCGGGTGACAATGAGAAATGGTGTGGGATTGAACACAGACTTTACTAACAGGAAAAGCACGCACAGCTAAAGACGTCAGAAAGTCCGGCGTGGAAGCGGTTTACCTAATAACAGAAAATATGGTTCCGTGCATTCTGTGGCCCTACAAATACAACAATCCAGTCATTTGAATTTTGGGTGGGGGCCACTCTTTAAAGAATACCGAGTTAGTTCCCAGTGAAAATGAAACTTTTTTTTGGATGCCTTAAATTGCAATGAAACATTTTTGTCATGTATTTGAAATTAATGTTAGAATAGAATAGAGTATAATAGAAAAGCCCTTTATTGCCATTGCACATGTACAATGAAATTATGGGTGCTCCATGTCAACTATGCAGAATAAAACATAAAGAGTAGGACAGCAGGAATAAATAACAAACAGGATAAATATATACAGTCAAGATGAATATATACAAAACAAGAGAAAGCCACAAAATAGAAAGGCATAACTATTATTACCAATTGCCTGAATTTCATCACACAACCTTTTACGGTCTTCTGATGCCTATATTGAAGCTTTTTTAAACGTATTACTGGCAATTTAAAAACAAGCAAACGCTTGCTCAAAAATGATGAAATTTGTCACTTTTGTTATGTGAAAATCCTTTAAACCTTACATTAATTTAAAATCATTGAATTCTGAGGCTTTTCTTCGAACATGTCTACATTTCCAGAGGTTTATTTACCATAAACACTGCACTGAGCTTAAGTCAGCTGAGTCCATAAATGACTAGATGAAGCAGGTGTCTGTGCGTAGTGAATGATAAAGGGAATTCAGCTTACCGTTTTTTGCCACTGTGGTTGCTGTGTTTGTTGCTCGGCATACTTAAGGTCAACTTCCACTCACTCTAGTAGGACAACACACAAGAAGCAATGAGCATTCAAAAGCTTTTGTATAATGTCATGTGTCAAACTAGTTTTCCTGCTGAGGCACATACCAGCTCTCAGCCTTCTGTTACAAATGTGTGTTTGTGCAGATTTCCTAGCTCACATGATTTCTTTGTTTTTCTTGTCTAAGGTAACTGAATCAATTATGTGATACATACTTTTCAAAAGTCAACACTTCAAATTGCGTTTGATTTTCTGAAATGTGGGGCTAGGAATGATTAGAAATGATTGGCACTAATATTCATGAAGTGCCTTACTCTGACGCTTTGTTAAAAATGATATATTTTATGGTCATCTCAAACGATGAATGCGAAAATCTAACAAACTAGTGACGTATCAGGGGACCAATGTCTGGCTATGGAAAGCACTACGATGGAAAACAGCGCCTGTGTTTATGAGGACGCCTGTTAATATGGTGGCCATTTCAGATTAAAAGCAGCTGTCTGAGCAGATAACACTGATCCATTCCATCACCTGTAAACTGACTTTAACATCAATGCTCATCTCTTCTACTTCAAACTGTCCGTAAACTCTAGTTACACCTTTAAGAGGGACCTACCTGTGTGATGATCGGCGTCCTGCTGATGAACACAATACACACTCACTGAAATACGAACGCAAACACTGTGCTCGCGACCGCCTCCATCCACAGCGCGCACTCAGGTAGCAATGAGACGGGCATATAGGCGTGTGCTCGTCACGTGGTCGCCTCCTCCTTGAAACAGGACTAACCTGTCCTCAGTGCCTGCATCTTCTTGAAACAGGCAGAAGATGCGTGTACTCTTCCAGGAACTGTTTGAGCTTTATTTCCAGTGCTCTTAAAACCAGATTATAAACAAATGAACTCTCAATCTCCACTTAAAATAACAAACATAATCTCTTTTGAACATCTATTTATCCCGCAATTTCGACAAAAAGCAGGGTTACTATCAAGAAATGCGAATCCCGACGTGCCAGACTTGATCTCTGTTAAAATGCATACGTGCACTAATTCGATGTACCTGAAACCTGAGCCGATGTCCCCATCCCGTCTTCCTACTGTTGTGAAACTTAGTAGGACAAACAGTAACCTGTCAAACCTGTTCTGCAGGTAGAGCTTCTGCTCAGTGCACCGCTGTGAGTCCAGCAGCCACCTTGACCCCTGCATCAGTAGACCACTTCTAGTAGCCCGCATGTTTCTTTGCTTTTTGGACAGTTTCTAGCAGACACACCTTGAGAAAATGTTCTATTCCTTTACCCATTTATCAGTGTCACTGCTGTCTTTGTATTCATTTTCATTTATACAAATACTCTTACTTAACACGTGAATGCAGAGAAACTCTTTGTTCAAAGTCCATTTTAAATCTGGTGTGAGTGACAATACTGCGTTTTTCAGGAACAGCTGCTGCAGGAAAATGTCGCTGGGTCTGCTGTTTTTGGATAGTTGTTAGTTTATTCATCAGAGTAGCTGCAAAATTAAAACCCCTGGAAGCAGAACTTATTACCAATCTTTCAATGGGCACCGTTTCAGGTAGGGGTCATGGGAGTTGGCATAAGGATTTTTGGCACCAAGAGTCATATTGTGTTCCTTGAACAGAGTGGTCGGCTTTAAAGGTTTTCCCATGAAATGAACAGTGAGTAGAAAACAACAACCTGGCACTAAAGGAAGGCACTGCAGCACACATTGATAAAAACAAAAAACTTTAATGAAGGTTACAAAAGAAAGGTACCAGAAGACAGCTTGTTGTTCATGGAGCTGTGCGGTCGGAGACAGGTCAGAGTTCAAATAGTCAACTGATTCAAGGTTCTGCTGGGAAACTTTAATGTCCTGTGATGCGTTCCCTACCTCCTCATCTCGCTTTAATTTCAAGCACCTAAAAGATCTCTTGTGGAGAATCTGTTCATCATGTGGACTGACCGTACCAACCATTGCACCACCATGTCAGCCAATTTTAAACACATATTTACTATTGCAAAGTTGTACAAATCACAAAGCAGAATTTACATTATAGTTAAAAATATAAATTCAGAGAACAGGTTTCATGTTTAAATGCAAAATAAGGCAAATACACATATCTATCATATGACCCCAAACCAAACTACAGATAAAAAAAACAGTGTCCAGTCAGAGGAAAGCAGTCAACTATCTTTATTATCTTGCCCATGAATAAAAGTAACTGTATTAAAGTTTCCATAGCAACATCCAACACGAAGATTTCATCTCTTTGCTTGTCTACCAGTGTTCTTTTGAAGTTGCTGTTGTTGCTGTTATGCTAAGCTAACATGGCCATCTTACAGTCTCTAAAACAGCAAAATCCCCAATATGTTCTTTTACAACTATCGGGGAGTGCTGTGTGCATGTTCATTTACCAACACTCTGTTGAAGTTTACGGTTTCCGTGACTTTTACTATTCCCTCTATAATGACGACACATCCCAGACGATGTTCCTTCTAGTGACAGTGAGTCTACCATCCATCATGACGGAGTGACTGCAGTGTTTTCCACCTATTTCAATGTGATAATGTCACCTCTGTTGTCAGGAATTATGGTTCAGCAGTAACGGGGAGTTTCACTTGGAAGAGACAAGCGTCTTTTTTAAATTTATACCACAGTCCCACTGTTGTGTTGCCGCAGAGCACACCTGAGCACACCTGTGTTAACTGCTTAGTTGGCATCGCTGTAGCCCACGGACTTGTTGTACTCTTGAATCTTCTGTTTGATGTGAGAGAGCTTGTTCTTTAGATACTCACACCTCTCTCTTTTTTCCAAATATGTTGGGTCCTAACAAGGAAAACATAAATCAGTAAAATTGAGTACATTTCTTCACAAAGATTTCAGTAAACCACACAAGTATTAAGAAACCAGGCAGTACATTTTAACCCTAATGGTGACACACCATTAGAGGTCTCAAGTTGGGTTTTTCAGACTTGTGTTCGTTTGCTTGTCAAAATATGAAAACAGGATAGATAGTAGAAGAAAGCTGCCATGATTAAGCTGAGCTAGAGCTCCAAATCACTGTCATTGTTATGGCCTTCTATCCTACAAAAGCCATTACCCATCACCTGCTATACCACACTACAGTAAGGTGATTTGGCATCTGCATTTTTCTGATTCCTGTAGTAGGATTTGTATGTACAGCAGCAGAGAGACTTAGAAAACCAACTCATCTATCATCTGTGACAGTGGATGTGAAGTAAATTTAAACAATTTACTTGTGCTTTTTCACTAAAATAAAAGGGAAGAACACTTTTTAAACTTTTTTTTAATGATTTATTCATTTTAAGTGGTACTGTGCACTGGGTTTGGATATTCAGCAGGTATGACCCTTCTATGAGGAGTTTATATGTTTGCTTGTAGGTTTTATTTTTATTTTATTTGTTTTCTTGTCAGGGAGGTGAGGATGCTCCTGTAATAAAAAACCATGTTAGATTAATGCTGCGCAGTAAAGCCCTAGATTATTAACCTCTGGGGTTTCAGTTCCTTGACTAAAGTCCAATTAAAAATGACTTCCCTTCCCAGACTGTTGCATTCACAACCCAAGCCCAGTGAAGTGACAGAAAATGGATGGATAAAAATAAAACAATAATGAAACAAATACTGGAAACTACAAAAATATGAGTCTAACACAAGAACGATATATAATGGTTAGTGAGACAAGTGTGACTCAGCTGAAAAACTGCATTTATTTTCCAAACAAATTCATATGTTGTAAATAGATTCTTCTGAGGTTTGATGAGAGTTTGGAGTTATGCACTCAAACAAGTGTCTGCTAGGTTTTTTGGTTTATCCAAACCTTTCTGTAAAACATCCCCCCCCCCCAAATATATGAAAGCACAACAGAGTGTTAGTGGGGCAGCTCTTTGATCTAAGTATTATTAAAAATAATAACTGTTGTTAACAGAGACATGAAGGGATATCTTTTATAGAAACACCCCTTCCCTAAGACCCCAGTCTGACAGACAACAATTCATGATGTATACTCACAGCTTTCTTCCTCTGATACTCCATTAAAATACCATTTATCCGCTCCTTCTCCTGAAACAAAGCAAACGTGTTACTGGATGTAATGTTACAATGTGTGTGTCTGTCTATCTGCTCGCTAGCAAAATTACCATTTGGCTGGAGGGCCGGGATGGAAGGTTCGCCATCATTTCATCCATCTCTTCGAACTTCTTGGCCATGGCCTGGACCTCAGCATGCAGTTCTTTGTACTCAGCATACTGGTCATTGAACACAGCCTTGTACTGGTCCCTCTCCTCATCTGTGTAAATGCTGGGATACTTCCTGTAGAAACAGCAAAGGAAACAATATTTCTTGGAGCACTGGGAGCTGAATGTGTCTAACACAGGTGTTTAACTGGGATACCCTCCTTTATCTTATCTTACTTATCTTATTCTTGATCTTAAACTGCTAATAAAAATCTGATTTCTGAGGATGGTTTAGAAAATAGCTAGTTTGGTAAACTGGTAACTGAATAAACTACTTTCTAAACCATGTGTGCACCTTTAATTTTTGTCTTACTGACACCAAATCCATGAAAAGATCTAAGATCATAAAGGAACCAGTGAAAGCAGCTTAAATATGCACTCAAAAAATAATTGTTTTTGAAGGCTCAGTAATGTTCTACTAGAGTTTTTAGCAAACTGTTATCAAGCACGAGTAATAATGTACTATTTGTAGTGTGGATTTAACCCACATTTAGAGTTGTGCTGTGTATTTAGGCCAGCAGGACACTGTGTGATGACACTTTCTGGATAACAATGGAGTTCAGTGATAAAGGAATTTAATGTGTGGCAATACTTATTTTTGATTCTCCACAGGGCATTCTTTGACAGTGTAGCACATTAAATGCCAAAGACCAGCACTTCATAGTCCTACCCACACTGGGCCAGAAGGTCTATCTGATGTGTGTCGGTGTTGTTCCTGGATCATCATAATAATATTTGTCCAGGATCAACATCGCATCTGACCAAACATAGTTATGATGTCATAGCTTTGTGGATGTCCACTCAAGAAAAAAAAAATCCAAAATGAGGGCTGTTAGGGCCAAGGTTAGGGTGTGATTGTGGTGAGGGTTTGGTGTGTGATGTGATGGTGTTTCCACATCGCAAAGCTATGACATCACTACAGTATGACTAGTCACTTGCAATGATGAAACCTGGACCAACATTAAATTTGTTGATCCAGTAACTGGACCGACAGGAGGACATCAGATGGTGTAAACAGAAACACGCGCAACAAGCTACACATGAACTGTATGCCACTTTGTGTGAGATGGGCCTAACATGAAAGTGTGACAAGCAGTAGCACTGGTGAAATGGTTATTCAGCCTTTGTAGCAGTGAGTTTTCTAGAAGAGCCATAATTCACATAGTCTGTACTGGAGTGTTCACAAACTAAAAGAGGTCACACCATTCTGGGTGGTTTGGAGTTATGTATTTTTCATTTACAGACGTAAGTGTGATACTGCTTTCCCAGAATACCCATGTACAAAAACACAGTGGTCATCATTGCACTGCTGGAGGTTTTATTTCTGTTAAAACACTTTAATTTAATTCTATTTTATTTATATAGCATCATATCCAATCAGCAGTCCCCTTGAGGCACTTTATAATGTAAGGTAAAGACACTACAATATTTCCCTATTGTAGTGTCTGCAACACGAGAACAAAATTGGGGACTGTGTTTAATCAGTCTGTTTGTATGTCAAATGTACATGTGACATCTGATACTACACTAGGGCCTCCCTGTTAAATGCACAATACACAGCTGGAAGACGAAACCTAGATGGTAATACTCACGCCACATAGTCGGCTATAACAACAGGTTTGGGGATGTGTCCGGCTGGTATGTGACCACGGAGGATCTCTGGCTCTGGTGCCATGAGAGGAGCAGCTTTTAAGTGGTTGGGAGCATCCATGATGTCTGGCTGAATGGTGGGGAGAGGGGTCTGCTCCGACACCATGGAGGATGGACCAAGCTGCGGCAGGTAAACATAGACACATGTTCAGATCATACATACTGTGTGCACCTTGGTGTCTGCAGGAACATTTCAAACACTTTCTCATACTTACTATAGAGAGTGGGACAGATGAGCCAATGGTTCTTATCTATTGTGTAATGAAAAAGAGAAACAGGAGTTTACTGACATTGGGTAAATACACCCTCTCTGCAAAACCTAAGCTGTGATGCTATGTTCTCTTTAGATAGAAGAGGTTTTCTACTCCCAACCCTTCCAAACAAACCACACTTGTTCAGTCTTTTTGTAATTCTACTGTCATGAACTCTCACGTTCACTGAGGCCTGTACAATCTGACATGAAGCTCTTGGGTTGTTTTACTGTGTCTCTGAGCAGTGCATAATCTGATCTTGGGTTGAATTTGCTTTGACATCCACTTGTGAATAATCTTTCTCCCTGTAGAATGCTGGGCTTCAGGTTGTTTCTTAGCTTAATTTCCATGCTGAAATCATCAAGGTGTGCAACACACGAATAAACAAATGGACTGGCTCTTATATAGCACTTTTCTACTCCATCTGATCACTCAATAGAACTTGCCTTATTGACCCAATCATACAAGCACTTTTTTCTATGCTTTTCTATGCACAATTGAATATTAGATTAGAATAAAAACTGGAGATAAAGAGAATAACAGCTGGCTAGTTCTTTGGGGGGCATAACTATTCAAAAACACAACAGGATAAGCATCACTGCTCAGTATTACTTTTCAGTTTTATTGTAGGGTTATTACCTAACCGCCTGTAATGCACTTTGAAATTGCTGTGGCTGTTGTTGTCATTTGGTGCAATAGAAATAACACTGAATTACACTGAAAATAAAATTGTTGCATGTAAAAAAAAAGCTTATCCAGTGAAGCAGGTGATTACTTAACATTACTTACAAAGCGGTCTTACAACAGCGTCCAGGAATGCTGACTCTATTTTCTAGAGGATTGATTGGCATTAGGTTTTGGTTTTGTATGTGCTGATCTCTTATCTTGGATATAACAGCACAGGATGGGTGCAAAAACATGATAGTTTACTTACTGGGGTACACTGTCATGTAATAGAATTAATGTTTTATTACATGACAAATTTAACCCTAAGCCCCCAAAATGTTCTCTGGAGTATCTCAAGGCCTCTGCATTAAAGGTCAGATTAGGTATTTAGCTGTGAATATTATTTTTGTGCTTTTTGTGTGTGTGTCAGACCTCCTGTGCCAGCCCCTCTTTCCTCATCCTGGCTGCTTCATGTCTCCACAGCTTCACACACACCGCTGCACTAATAAAGTAGAGCACCATGGTGATGAAGATGAAGACAATGGCTGCTGTCTGGCCGGACTCGGTGCGACAGAATGCACCGTTCACTCCATTATTGAAGACTGGCGAGTAGCACAGCCCCCCTCGAGTTGTGTCATTCACATACACCAACCCTGCGGCTAAATAGAGCACACCCAGCACCAGATTTATGGAACACTCTGTTAGAGGCCACCATGAGGAATCCAGAAGGATGGCTCTGTAGTACAGGGTCATGCCAAGAACAACCAGAATAACTGTCACTATCCATGCAAGGCCAGCCACAACCAGAACAAAAGGCGTCTTGGGTCCTGTGTATAAATAACCCCCAGACCCATATGCAGCAGCGCCTCCACCAAGCCCTCCATACAGCTGCGGCCCAGAGTATCCATACATATTGAACCACTCGTTGTCCTTATGAACGTAAGCGCAGACACAGGCAAACACTGCAGCTCCAAGCAGCAGCTGCACACCGCCCAGGATCCTTAGCAAGCCAGCCCATGACTTCATGTAGGAGTAGCGCGCATGATATTCTTCCACCCGCTCCTGGTACGTCTGAACTGAGACATTGGTGGGCACTGCAGATGCAGAGTCAAATGCTTCGGCACCGAGCAGCAGTCCATCTCGCTCCTTTTGAGATGTGTAGCTGCCTCCAGAGCCACCATAGCGGTCTCGATAGGAGCCTGGAACGGAGGGAGATGGAGGGGCAGAGTGAGGCGGTGAGCAGGGGACTCCTGATGTGGTGTGGCACTTAGCACTTTTTTTGGATGAAGGAGCAGGGGAATCAGGGCCAGACCCACCCTTGCTACCACGGTTACTGCTGTTGCCACGGAAAAAGTTCTTGACAGAGTCAGGGATGAAGCGGCGAACTGGCTTAATGTCCATAGCGTCACGGTCTTCGTCCATTGGGTCGTCATTGCTGGGGGGATAGAAAGCTTCAGGTCCAACAGGTGGCTGTTCAGGTAGAGGGGGAGGGGGCAGGGAGTCTAAGCTGACAGCTGGCACTGTCCCATGCAGGAGTTGTGGAGGTGGAGGTATTGCAAGGTCCCCATACAGGGAATCCGCTGGGACCTGGTCATAGAGTGGCATCTCCCTCACTCGGTCAAATCTGGAGACTCCTGAAAACATCGCAGCTTTGACTTTCTGCAAAGAGAAACAGAGAGGATTACAATGGCATAGTACCAAGATCTGAACTTACAGCACCTCTAAAATAAAAACACAGGCCTTAGTTTCATTCCTCATCTTCTCGCAGCTGCTTCCTTTAGGGGGTACCAAAGGAGATCATCTGCCTCCATCTCACCCTGTCCCAGCATCCTCATCTGTCACTACATCCATGAACCTCCTCTGAGGTCTTCCTCTTTTTCTCCTGCCTGGCAGCTCCATCTTCATTATTTCATTATCCTTTGGATAAACTGGACACTCTCCCTCCACTGCATATGTCCAAACCATCTCATCCCAGACTGAGCTGTCCCTCCAATGTACCTATTGGTAATCCTGGATTGCTCATCTGAGCATTTTCAGTTTGGCCTTCTGTCTTATTGTCAGTGCCACCGTCTCCAAAGCATACATCATGGCAGGTCTCACTACCTACTTATAAACCTTCCTTTTCATTACTGTACACTGCACCCTGCCTGCACTCTCTTCTTCACTTCTCTTGGGCACTGCCATTGGAGGTATTTAAACTCATCCACCTTGAATACCTCTGCTCCTTGCAGGTTCACTGATACAGTTTCACTGCTTTCCGTAAATCATGACAGCACTGCACTTTTGAATTTTTGCCAAGGTCCAAGAAAAAAATATCAGCTACAGCGAGAACTTTAATAAATGATCAGATGACACAAATTGGATGAAACAAATTCAGAATGTAATGTAATTCCATTAATTGAGTCATAAATGCAAAACGTATGCTGTAAAGCCAACTGTTCGTCTGCTGGTGGGTGACCAGTCTTTACTCAATTTGAAGAACAGTAAACTGTTTGGATTTAAATGTCTACGAATTCCAAAATTATCCCTCTAAGATAATAAAAGTACTGTGATTATCCAGTCTGCACTGCTGTGTCAGTGCTCCACACAGGAGCTCCAATAAATACTTGGTATACCGAATACCCACCAACTCTGCTGTGGAGGAATTTTGGCTTGTTTTTCCTTTTCAGAACTGCTTTATGCTGGAAACACTGACCATTCACACCTCAGCAGGTTTGGGTCCAGACTGTGCTTAGGCTATTTTAAACTTAGTTTTGGAATTTTGTGCTTGATTTAGATGAAAGAGGAACCATGTCTTCTTAAAAGATCATACAATAATCTCTCAACACCTTGAGGCGATTTTGAAGCATGGGAAAGTATCATCCACATAAATATTTCCTAGCTTTCTTGTTTTCTTATATGTGATGTACAAGAAAATGTCCTTCATCAGACCAAGTCTATTTCTCCGTCACTGGAGTCTTTAATTCAGGTCCCCACTGTAGGCTTGTCTGCCACTAAGTGTGGTACAGCTGACTGCAATCCACTGTGTCTCACATCTCATCAGTCAGGTCAAGGTTTCAGCGCTTGTCCTTCATTTGGCTGCAGAACAGCACTCTTGCCATAATTAAAATGGTGAATGCCTCACACCAGCAGACTTTTCAGTCAAGGCTGTCTACATGAGGCATCTTCCATTTATTAAGTTAATATAACTGTTATTTGTAAAAACTGGGAAAGCTTAAGGGAACTGTAGCAAAACAGCTAATTCCATGAGTAAAATGACGAGAAATGAGCACAAGATCAGAGATTTTTTTTGTTTTGTTGTTTTTGTTTAAACAGAGAACATTCACAATAATTTCATTTTTACGTTATTTGTGAATATTTCTAGAATATTCTCAGTATGACATTGCACAATAGGACGTTTTTTTCTCTTGCTTCATGGCAGCACTCCTCAATAAGTAAACTAAAGGAGAGATTTGTAGTTTTACAGAGCTTAGCTCAGACTCCCCATGACTCAAGGCTCACAAAATATACACTATTTAGGACTCCTAGCTTAATCTCTTATGTTGGTCACAGGTTCTTCAAAGGGCGCCTGTACATCAGCACAAGCAGCACAAGGTACCGCCTTTACCGTCAGGTCCCAAAAGCGCACCGACACATGATGAGGGTGGCAGAGCTGGGAGTGCACGGCTTGACCACAACACACAGAGCACTTCAGACTGGAAGTCCATCTGTTCCCCTCCTATTCAAACTTCACTCATTCGCTGACTTACCTTCTCACTGGTGTCGGTGCTGGTCTGTGACACAGGCAACAGCCTCCTGTCTTTGTTTTCTCACACTTCTAGGTCAGGCATCGCTATGAACAGTGGTTAAAGCGCAGTCAGGAGCCGGAAAAGCAAAGTGCTCGCACCTCCCCACCGCGTTAAAACTTACCTGACCTGTCCGGCCAGCCTCACGATGCGTTCACGGCCTCTTTTCACATCTGAATCCTCACTCTCTAATTCTTACGCCACATTGTTGTGTTCCCTTGAGTAAAGGCGACTTTCAACAACCGTTTTTATAAGTAATATTTTTAATACATTTATTTTTATTCTTTTGCAAAAAAAAGTATCACTTATTATAACTGTAAAAAATGTTGATTGGAAACGTAAGTGATAGCTTAGCCCCTTATTTCTTGATAGATGTGAGCGCAGTTTACTCTATAGAAATGTACTTCCTCAGCACAGGGTGATCCTTATGAGTCCTAATATCTGATCCTAATGAGTCAGAGACATTATGAGATGGTGATTGAAAATCTATAAAAAAATTAAAAATACAAGCGAAATACCGCACTGTTGCAGAACATGTAATTAATGCTGCAGAAAACCACCAGTCTGATAGTTTAATGCACAGAGCAGTAAAATAAACATATTAATTCCAGTGACTCGTTTTTTGAATGGCCGATGTGATGATTAACAGGCAGAGTCAATCAATCTGCAGGAAAAAAACATTTATCAAATGCTGAAATCCAAAGGGACGCTGAAAAATGGCACCTACATCCATATAGCTATGTTGTAGGAATTTTAGGATTTAGGATTTTAGGGTAGTTTAAATTTCACTATTGACAATTTATGAGATTACATTTGATAGTTTTATACGTCTTTTACTTTGCATGTCTTCTCCCAGACACTTTGTGAGTCGATCCAATGTAAAAGTAAACCAAAGAAGAGAGAACTTATGTTCGGATTCTATTCTTTTCTTCTAGATTTAATTATTTTCTTTTCTTTGCTATTTTGTTTATCCTTCTGTCTCACCCTCACCTGTTTCTTTCTCTCTTTGTGTGTGCATGTGTTAGAAATGAAGGATATTCCACCAGTGACCATTGCCAAGTTCTTTATAATGATCGGGTACATTACATTCAGTGTGTTTTTGGATCAAATGAAGTATTCCCCCGTGCTCAGAGGGCAACTGGATTGTATCGATACAAAGTGACAATAACTATATTATTTAAAAGTTTCAGAAAGGCCAGAAGAGAGATCAGAGGCTGACAGCTGACTATCAATGAGGACAGCATAATGATTCAGTGCACTGGCATGAACATAAGTGCACTTTCGTGGTCAAGACAATACATAATTAATACATAATTTTTTCTCTGTCTTGTATGTATAGAAATACGCTTCTAAATTAGATAACATAAACACATCTAGACTAGACAGGTTACTGTGTATGTTAAATTGTACAGGTGGTGGGTGCCATGTGTCCCATCTCCTCCCGCTCTCTTCTCCCTTCCCCTCACTGCCAACTGGTAGCTATCTGGAGGAAGAGCCTTTGCGGTCAGCGACGACCTGAAACATCACCAAATGCTATTTCGTCTTTTGAGAAGATTTTTTATTTTATTTTACTGTTCACAGTATTTATTAAGTAGATTTGACCTGAATCCATCTGAGTGGCAAAACCACATCTTATCTTGTCTATTTCGGCTCATCTGAGTTCCCAGGACAACTAATGTTTATGCCAATGTACCAGGGTTATCCAATCATCATCATCATCATCATCATCATCATCATCATAGGGACAGGCAGTTTAAATCGGGAATAACGTGTGAGGGGCGGAGCTGCTTCTGCATGAATCCTACTACTGTTTGTCGTTAACTGTTATAACGACGCATATGCCTATTCTGACCAATCACGTGTTGACATTGTCTTCCGTATTTTAGGACTTGTCAAGTGGTGATTGGTGGAAAGCAGCATTGCGGTTCGGAAGTGAGTGCCGGTCATGACAGCAGAGACACAAAGATGGAGGTGGTTGGTACTATCCGCGGGCTCATCAGGTCGTTGCTCTTCTTGCTGCTGTGGTCCAGCTGTGAAGGACGAGACTCGGAGCTCAGCTATGTGACCTGCGGCTCCCTAGTCAAACTGTTTAACACCAGACACAACGTCCGACTGCACTCCCACGACGTTAAGTACGGCTCAGGTAAGTGTTCAGAGAGCTGCCGGTGTACGGCCACAGCAGCTCTGAAGCGTCAGCATTGCGCTTACTGTGCTAGAAAAGCTTTGTAGAAGCAAAAAAAATACCCGGAAATTCAACCCGAGCACAACTTCCGACTACCTTTCCCCACGCTGAAGTTAAGAAGAGGTTCGCTCCATGATTGCATGTCTTAGTTAGTCTTTGGGAGCGTGCTGCTTTTGTGCTATAAGCACAAGAATGAGAAACTGATATTCCCATCAGTGCAGTTTGGCATTATAGAGTTACCTGCTTTATAAGAGCATCCATTAAGTCAGTGAGTTTGGGGTCGTCCTCATCAAGCACCAGGCTGACTTTCACATCTGCCATTTGGTAGAGAGGCTATAAGTAAGGTTTGCATACTGTAACAGTGACTCACTGAAACTAGGAAACTCACTTCTTTTTCATATCGTACGGTCCTAGCAGATGTTTCGGCCTTGTCCCTGAAAGTTGCTGGTTTGAAAGAGAGGTAATGCTTGTTACATGTGTAGCCAGCCTGGGACAAGTGCACATCCACTTTAGCCTCATGTGACGTCAAACTTTCTCAGATAAGTCATTTTAGAAGTGAATATAGCTGAAATCATAGAACAGCCTAGACTTTAACTGATGTCAAGTCAGCTTGCACTGACGTCTCTTTTGGGTCTCACATTTAAATGACAAAATCAACACTTTGAATTCAGATGTAGATATTATGTCTGCTTCATTTGTTATGGAATGACAGATGAACAGGCCTCACCCAGCTATCAAGCTACTTGTCAGTCAGTTTTCTGTTAATTTTTTGAACCATTGAAATCGGACATGTGTATAAAGATGACTGTGGATTTTGTAAAGCTGCTTAAATGAAATGTGGTGGTCTACAGGTATATTTGTCCCACAAAATATGGACCAAACTGTCCCACCTGTAATAGTGGGAAAGGCAGGGCACACCTGGACAGGTCACTAGTCTGCACAACGGGCAGTGGAGAACATTCAAACTCCACACTGAATCTAACTGTAGTCAGAACATTATAAGTTTGACAGGCTGCATCACAGAATAGAATATTCAATTTATTGAGCTTAACATAAAGGGTAATTGGCTCCACATATTAAGCACACAGTTACAAATCTGGGCTTTATATTGGATGGTGATTGTAAAATGGACAGACAAATGGCGTAGCATCTTTCATTTTAGAAAAACGGGTAAAGGTAAAAACCTATTCTCTGCAGGCAGCAGAGACAGTAAAACATGCCCACCCCCTTCCTTATTGCGACTTTTAGTTAGGAGAAGTTGGAGATCATGCAGCATCATACAACAAAGTTGACATCCTGTCCACTGTTGCAAGCTGGCATTCCTGCAGGTCATGTACAGCTTGATTTTCGTAACCTGGCACATTGTGCCGTTACTGTTGCAGCTGGGTTGAAGACCGTATCATTTTGTCGGTTTTTACCACTATTTTAATGACATATCAGTGCAGAAGCTCAAAGATGTACAGATAATACAGAAAGACATGTTGCAACAGTTTGAAAGGGTGAGACTTTGTGGAAAATACTCTGAAAACACGCACTGCAATGTCTTTGCTTCTAGTTTTCTTCTACTATATGAGTGCTGATGTGGCGGTATTGTCAGGTGGGAACATCTTGAGTCTCTAACCCATTCAAAACCCCAACTCACACCTTATGTCAAGTGACCTCAGTAGGTCACATGATAGGGTGGGCCAAGGTGTCACAGTGGTTTCAAGTGAAATCTCTGGGAAACGCAGCTAGCATCTCAAGTTTCAGTGATTTAGTAATGTAACATATTAGTTTTGTTTTTCTAAGCTGTAATGATGATGTTGATATTTATATAACAAAGGAATGGCCCACACCTGGGGCCTGTTCTTCGTACCGCGCTAAGTGAGTTAGCTGGAT